TTGACTCCCATTTTAATTTTGAAATATCAAAATTTTGAAATGGTATTTTGGGATCAATTTCGGGGTATTTATATTTCAGGTTTTGGGTCCCAAAATAATTTTGCGTGCAAGTATAGTATGGGTGGTATAAATTATGGAAGTATTGGTAATATTTGTTGTCTTCTTTATCTCTGTTATTCTTGTTGTTCCTCGTAGTTCCTTATATGTTCTAATTCTAATCTTTACTTCTCTTTTGTCTTCACGAATATGGCAATTATGATGTTCTTGCTCTGTTTGGTTGGTCTCTTCTTGTGATCAGCAGACTAGAGATAACTCTTCTTGGTGTCCTAAATATCCTTGTCCCTGTGGTAGGAGTTGGGTGGTTGTTTTCACTTTGTTGAGGGTTCCAGATTAAGTCTTCTCTTGATATGTCTCTTAAAGTTCCCTAAAGTAAATCGACTGTAGTTTTGAGTGTGTTCGCGACTTCCTCTTGAGTTTCTACTTGTCCGAGAGGTGAGTTTTCCTCATCTTGTTTATTATTATTTCCAAATAAATTATTTAAAGTATTGTCAACTTATATAATTTTTATATATGAAAATAATATTATTATTTTTGCCATTGCACAATAATCAAAAAAATATATAATTAATAATAAATATGATTATTGACAAGAAATTATAATAAAGACAATTTGCTTTGTGATTAGAGTAATTAAAAGGTAGGCAAAATGAGAGGAAAATAGGTGGAGAAAAATAAAGTGAATTTTTTTTTTGTAATAATTTCATCTATCATTTATTTGTCATAGTCTTGTACTATAAAAATAACAATGGAGATGTAATGATCTACTAATAAATCGGGATGTGATAAATAACATCCGTTACTATGATTTAAAAGATTTTATGTGATTTTTAATAAATAATTAATTATCTATCAACTATTTTTTTTTACATTTTCTCCATCTTTCACTTAATGATAACAGATAACTTTGATCCATTTGAAAATTGTTTTCAAATAGATTTTGAAGAAAATTAAGATAATCCAACTACTGAAGATCAAGATAATACTTTTTCTACAATTGATACAATTGATAGAGAAGAAAGCTTGTATAATAGTAATATTATTTTCATGAAATTGACATTTAATTTTTGAATAAAAAATAATATTTTTTGATTTGTGCAAGTACAGAATGTACTATAATTACAATCAAAAAATATAAAAGAAAGAAATCATCATTTACAAGATAGCATTTTAAAAAGGAACTTAATTCAAAAGGTGAAGAGATTCAAATTTGTAAGTTTATAGATGAAAGTGGTAATCGATGTAATCAAACATATTGAAATGCTGAAGGTTCAACTGGAAATTTAATTGCACATTTGCAAGATGTTCGCTCTATTATTAATGATGATGTTGAAAGTAGAACTTCTAAAAAGGTATAAAGTTAGATTTTTATTTTGAAATTTTTTATATATTATATTATAATTTTTTTATTGATTTAATAATTAATTGATTTAATAATTAATTTTTTAGTTACGAAATACTAAAATTACTGATTTTATTAAGTCTCATTATCCTCATCCTAAACATATTCAAAAACAACTTGAAGAAGTTCTTCTTAAATAGATGTTAATTACTGATCAGCCTATTTTAACAGTTACAAATTTAGCATATAAAGAAATGATTTCACATTTTAATCCTTCATTTGATATACCTGGAAAACAAAAAATAAAAACAATGATATCAAAGAGTTATAAATACAAATGTGAAAATTTAAAGAATTTATCAAATGAAACAGCTATAACAATATTATTAACTATAGATCTTTAGTCTTGTAAAGCTAAACATGAATATTTAGGTATTACTGTAATATGGATTACACCAGATTTTAAAATTAAAGATGTAATTCTAGAAATAAAATATGCTCCTTCTCCTCACACAACTAAAACTATTGCTGAATTACTTTATCAATGTATAACAAATTGAAATCTTAAAGGACGCGTGATAGTAATTGTTACAGATAATAGGGCAAATATAAAATCAGCATTTTCTATATTAATTTAAAAAGGTAAAAATATTTTACAAATTTCATGTGCAGCTCATATACTTCAGTTAGCAATCGGTAAAGGATTAGCACCTGTAAAAATTTTTATAGCACGTGTAAAACGAATAATTAATTTTTTTTCAATACAAAAACAAATAGAAAGATTAGAAGAAGTACAATTTAAATTAAATTATAAAAATATATTATGATATATTCAAGATGTTTCAACATGTTGAAATTCTTCTTATTATGCTTGAGATCATTTCTTTTATCTTAAAGATGTAATTATTTGATTTCAAGTTGATTTAGTTACAAGTATAAATAGGAAAAACAAAAGTAATGGAAATAAATTAAAAAAAATTATGTTATCTAAAGAAGAATAGACATTATTAAATCAATTAATTGATCTTTTAATGCCATTTGAAAATGCAACTCGAGATTTTTCAGGAGGAACTTATGTAATATTAAGTTCTATAATATCAATTATTAAAAAATTAATTTTTGATTTAGCTGGTAACTCTTCATTAGATAATATTAATATTAATTATCTTGATGAAAACATTGTATTTGAAACAGAAATTTTTACTGAAGAATTATTAATTGAAATTGAAGATGAAGAAATTATAAATAATATATCAAAAAGAAGTATTTCTATTAAAAATTCATTAAATACAACAGGAATTTTGGAAAAAGTCAAAAATAGTATCTATTCTGCATTAATTTATTATTGGGATTTTTCTAATAATATAGAATTAATAGCTTCTCTATTAGATCCATGTTATAAAATATTGAATTTTGTAGAATCAGAAGATGAAAAAAAGAGAATAATTCAAAAACTTCATAATAAACTTAATTCAAATAATTTATTACCTGTAGAATCATTTAGTTCAATTGCACTTTTAACAAATGATGCAGAATTTTCATTACATTAATATAAGGAATATCGGTAATATCGTCAAATAAAAAATAAAAATTTAATTCAATCAAATATAAATATTAATATTGATGAAATAGATAGTTATTTAGCAAAACCAGTTGTATTAGAAAATGTAAATTCATTAGAATGGTGGCAAGTAAATATACAACTTTTTCTCAAATTATCTAAAATTGCTTATAAATATCTTGGAATATCAGTAACTTCTATTTCATGTGAAAGATGATTTTCACATGCTAATAATATAATTATAACAAAAAGAATTTGCTTAAATACAGATTTAGCTGGTAAAATACTTTTTTTAAAAAGAAATCTTAATTCAATGGAGGTTTTTGCAAAAGAATAGAATGAAATTGAAGAATAAATATTATAAAATAAATAATATTAAATTGTAAATTTGTATTTTATTAAATAAAGTTTGAAAAATGATTTTTTTTATTCATTTTAATTTTATATAAATTAATAAAATTTTAAAATGTCATTATGATTCTAAATAAGGATAAATTCTAAAAATAAGGATGAATCCTAAAAATAAAAATAGATCTTAAAATAAGGATGAATCTTTAAAATAAGGATGGATCCTTAAAGTAATGATAGATCCTTAAAATAAGGATAAATCTAGATCCATCCTAATTAACCATAAATATTTAAGGATTAGGATTTATAATTTGAATTTGATTGAGAAAATCTGAATTAGATCCGAATTGTATTTTGAAATAGGATTCCAACACTAGGCCTTTAGCTATAAGGTTCAAAATTTCTTCAATAATTTTATAAACTTGTGACTTATATTGATTCCCTTCAAGTTTCTCTACACCTCCTTATACCAAATTACAACGAATATCGTGTATTTCATTTTGTGGTATAATGGAAATAATCTTATGATCTTGTTGATCTTCTTTACAAACTTCACATATATCCTAACTAGTCTTAAGATATTCATTACATCAGCAATAGGAGTTAGGTTCTGTTGTCTTATGTCTTTCTTGAGTACCTTTCTTTTAACCAGATTGAAACAATAGGAGAACTGGTCATACATTTTCCATGTAACAAGCTTCGAGTTATTGCGCATTCCTTTGGAAGTAATTTTATATTTTATATAAGATTCTTGGTGTGAAAATTCATATGTTATCCCTACGAAATTCACTTCTTCATCATCTTCTATATCAGAATTATCACTACTTTCTACATATTTTTCTTCATTATTATCATCAATTTTATTATTATCTGACACAGTAGTTCTAGTATTTCTATAAGAAATTTGTATTATTCACTTGTTTCTTTCAATATTAATTTGTACTCTTGGTAGTCTATTATAGCATGATCCTTTTTAACCAATCTGTTTCAAGAATTAATACATAACTTACTGTATCAATAATTTCCATGTCAACAGCTACCACGATTTCTTCTAACTTTATGGGTACTAATATTACAATTTCCAAACTGGATCATCTTTCTCCATGTATACCAGTTATTTTTTTCTGAACACTTTCTCAATTCTTCGTCCTATAAATTTTATGAAATTTTTTGAAATGATACTAATAGATGATCCACTATCAAGAATTACTTTAACTTTCTATCTGGCTATTTGAGCTTGACAAGTCATGGGTGTGTTCTCTTCTACTGTTGTATGATTAGCTATTTTTACAATTCTTGTATACTTTGGCATCAAAACTTTTTAGGTTTCACTTCTATAGTGTAACATAGCCATTAATTGTTTCAAAGTAATGTTGACTCTCATCGCAAGTAAATCTGAGACGATAGAATATGGTAAGACATTTTGTGTCATAAATAGTTGTTGAACAGGAGGTACTTTCTTTCTTTTCTTTTGTTTAGGGTCTTCAGATACTTCCTTTTTCTTTTCTGCAGATCGTAATCTCTTTGCAATAGGTTGCGAAGTATCTTGTTTACTTGTTAACCTAATACTTTCCACTATTACTTTATTATTATCTCTGGTTTTAATGAGGAGTTTATATTATCCACACTCTCACCCTCCTGATGTGTGCCTATTAGTTTAAATACTGTACTTTTTTCCAAACAGTAGAGACAGGCTGTTGGATTTTTTTCTCTTAAGTTATAAATGCATTACTATTTACATCTCCTTGTGAAACTTGTTGCATAGTTTGATTAGTCACTATATTAGTTGCAGGAGATACAGTATTGGTAAGTCACGAAGCAGCTGGAATAGTCAGATTTATTTGATTTCTTTGGTTCCCTTGTCTCAAAGAACAATTCTAAGCCATATATCTGGTCTGTTCACAATGATAGCAATTGGATAGATTATTATAACTTCTGAAGCTTTGTCCTCTATTGTTATTATAACTATTATAATCTTGTCTTCTATTATTATTATATAATTTGGTTTGTTATTGAAAGTATTAAGTGCTCTTTTTCCTTTTTCAATAATCTTCTACAATGTTTTGGCAATAGGTATAAAAGTTTTCTGTATTATTCATTCTATTGCGTCTTCACTGTCATTACTTTTATTTCAAAAAGATACAGATCCTTGTATACTCATAGTATATCCTATTATAGCTTTGAAATAGGTTTAAGTATTTTCTTCAAATTGCTTGACTGTTCGGATCACTTTTTTCAAGGTTGGCTTCTCTTGAGACATAATAAATATTCAGACTTGATAAGTAATATCTTTTCGTAATCTTTTCAAAAACTGCTAGATATTTTCATGTTCACTTCATCTATTATTACCATCTATTCGTTTAATTAATTTCTTAATATTGTTTGAATATTGCTCTACACTTTTGCCTAGCTTCTGTACTTTTATTTATAATTCGAATCTCTATTGATTTATTAATGCAGTTGTTTAGAAAATGGCTAAGAAAAATGTTTCAAAAGAAATCTGGTCTCTATTGTTTCAATGGTTAATGGAGTTTTGTCCTTCTTGTACTTCATTAAACCATTGTCTTGCTATATCCTGTAGATATTTGCTAGCAACTTGAAGTTTGTATTTATCAGTATATTAGTTTATTCTTACAGATCAATTAAATTCTTTTAACCATTCCATAAGATCTTGGTTTCCTCCAAAAAAGAACAGCATTCTTGTATCATTTCTTATACGAAAAGTATTTTGAAGACCTTGTATTAGAGCAATCGTCTCATTTTCCCTTGCATTTATATTTGATTTGGTATTTTTCTTTCATTTATACAGTTTAACATATTGTTTTGTAAGATTTTGTAAAAGTAATTTTGATGATCATTCAGAGATTTTGTCTAGTTACTCAAATTTTCACTTTACAATTTTTACTGTAAATCTTTTGATTTAGAAGAATCTTGTTATAATAATGTCTACTTTGATGATTAGTTTTGTCAGGTTTCAAAATAAAATGCAAGAAATCAATTTTTGTAAAGAAAATAATTATGGTAATAAATTGTATATTTCAAATTGTTTCGTAATAAAAATTTTTTTGACTATCTTTTAAATAATAGAAATATATATTATGTATTTATAAAATTTATTAAAGAATATAAAATTTGTGAAACATATGTATCAATATTATAGGTTACTACGTTAAGATACTTTATGCCACCTTACAGGAGGTACCAAATTTTGTTACAACTGTACAGAGTATTTCGAACAATTTCTCAAATCAGTTTCAAAATTTGTATTACACAAATATAATAATATACTCTATCTGTCAGTAGGTTACAGCTAATACAATCAATTTAACTGGCCTATCTCGAAACAGATAATAAATATATAATAAATAATAATAATAATCAAATAATAGTCAATTAATTATGAAGACACAGTAAGTAAGGTAGAGTAAAAGTAGTTAATATAGTATCAAACAATATTTAATAATATTCCGCAATATTATAGCGCAAGTTATAAGTTTATTAAAATATAAAATATAAAGTTTTTTAAAAGTAAAGTATAATTTAGCGAAGAAATATTATTATGTATTAGGATGTCTATTTTACTGTTCCAGAAGTAAGTTTACTTTTCTTTCCAATAATAATTAAAATATTTCAATGCATTCCAGAATATTAAGTAATAATTAATTAACTAATAACTATTTATGAATTCTGATTACTTTTTTAAACTTACACTTGATAATGGTCATATTTATACTTTCTCTTTTGTTTACACTTTATCCTTCTCATCTTCGTACTTCCACTAGTTGAAAATTGATAAAACATACACATATTAGGTACCCAATATATGCATAGTATGTCCCTAATATCAGATATATATCGGGTACCCGATATATATATAAAATATATTCTACACCTATCGGGTACCCGATATATGCCCAATATTAGGGACACACTATGCACATATCGGGTACCTAATATTATACGTGTTGCCCAAATCCCAAATCATTTGAGATTTGGGACGCCAAAATTCCAAATTACTAGGATTTGAGATTTCAGCAAAAAATATTAATCATAATTTGGAATTTGGGATTTGGGATTTCAGCATTTGAGATTTCAGCATTTGGATTTTGAATTTGGGTAGCAGGTATATCTGATATGTGTATGTTTTATCAATTTTGACCAGTGTTCATCCTTGTAGCAGTTTTGACTATGTCGTAACTTACGTAGTTGACGAGTGACAACTCCTACTTATTTCATTTATTTTATTTTACTTTTATTTTATTATTTTATTTTCTATTTTATTATTTATATTTTTATCTTTATATT